CCTCAGTGGCTCACTTTCTCCAACAAGGCCATACCTACTTCAACAAGACCACACTTTCTTATAGTGTCACTCCCTTTGGGGACCATTTTTGTTCAAGCCACCATGCCTGGTTAGAGTTACACTAAGATAATTTCTATTATTTGTGGATACCGTTAAGGATGACTTAGCCCCGATTTTTTTCTCACCTTATTTAGCATTTGTTCATAGGAAGGCTACTAATTTCTTGAGTTACTTTTATAATCTAGGACTTGACTGAAGTCTTTATCAGCTCTAGAGATTCACTGGTAGAATTTTTTGTGCTCAGTTACATATGCAATTGTATCATCTGCAAAGAGTGATATTTTGAGTTCTTTTTTTCCAGTTTATCTCCCCTTGATCTCCTCCAGTCAGCTTACAGATCTAGCTAAAACTTCAAGTACTCTCTTTAATAGATATGGGGAGAGTGAACAGCCTTGTCTTGTCCCTGACTTTAGTGGAACTGCTTTGAGGTTTTCTCCATTTAATTGGATGTAAGCTGTTGGTTTTCTGTATGTTGCCTTTATTATGTTTATATATGTCTCTTGTATACCTGTTCTCTCCAAGATGTTTGTCATGAAGGAGTATTGTATTTTTTTCAAGGGCTTTTTCAGCATTGGATGAGATCATCACTGATCACGTGGGATTTTTTTTTTCAGTTTGTTTGCATGGTGGGTTACATTGACATATTTATATATGTTGAACCATCCCGGCTTCTGTAGTTGAGCCCACTAGATCATGGTGGATTATCTCTTTAATATGTCCTTGGATTCTGTTTGTGAGTTTTCATTGAGAATTTTTGCATGTTCCTGAAGTAAACTGGTCTGTAATGCTCTTTCATTGCTAAGGCTCTGTGTGGTTTGGGTATTAGGGTGACTGTGGCCTCATGAAAAGAATTTTGAAATGTTACTTGTTTCTGTTTTGTGGAATGGTTGGAAGAGTACTGGTATTAACTCTTCTTTGAAAGTGTGGAAGAAATCTGTGCTAAAACTATCTGTCCTTTGGTTGGGAGATTTTTAATGAATGTTTCTGTTTCCTTGTAGGTTATGGGCCTAACTAAATTGTTCATCTGATCTAGATTTAACTTTGACAAGTAGTATCTACTGAAAAATTTGTGTTTCTTTTATATTTTCTAATTTCTTGGAAAACACATTCTTGAAGTATAACTTAATGATTCTTTGGATTTTCCTGGTGTCTCTTGTTTTTCCCCCATTTACATTTCTATTTTGTTAATTTGAACATTCTCTCTTCCTGCCTTTTAGATAGTTGGGATGAGGGTTTGTCTCTATACTAAGATATTTCTTTCATTGTTCATCTCCTGAATCACTCTCAGCCTCAGCCATCTCTCTCCCTCCTACTTCATGCCCCATCTTGCCCCCAATTAACCCTTCCCAGGGTGATCCATGTGTCCTTGTTAGGGTCCTCCTTGTAACCTAGCTTCTCTGCAGCTGTGAATTGTAGTCTTTGCATTACATAGTATCCTTTGCATTACATCTAATATCTGATTATGATTGAGTATATACCATGTTTGTCTTTCTGAATCTGGGTTACCTCACTCATGTTGGTTTTTTTCTATTTCTATCCATTTGTCTGAAAATTCATGAGGTCATCATTTTTTACAGCTGAGTCGTACTCCATTGTGTAAATGTATCACACTTTCCTTATCCATTCCTCAGTTGAGGGACATCTAGGTCATTTCCATGTTCTGGCTATTACAAATAATGCTGTTATGAATATAGTTGAGCAAATGTCCTTGTGGTATGATTGAGTGTCCTTTGGGTAAATGCCCAAGAGTGGTATCTCTGGGTCTTGAAGTAGATTGATTCCCAATTTTCTTAGAAACTTCCATATTGCACTCCCACCAGCAGTGGAGGAGTTTTCACCTGACTCCACATCCTCTCAAACATAAGCTGTCTCAGTATTTTTTATCTTAGCCATTCTGACAGGTGAAAGATGGCAGTAAGACCATGATACAAACCTGGCACATGAGACAGCATGTTGTAGCCCATTCCTTGGGGTAGGATGTCATGCTCAGTGGCAGTAGGACCATGATATAATCCTTGTACATGAGCTAGCGTGTTGGAGTCCATTCTTCATAGTGGAATGTCATGCTCACCCTTGAAGCATGGAAGAGGGGCCTGGCCTTATCACAACCTATAATTACAGACTATGTTGACTCCTTATGGGAGCCCTTATCCATGAGGAGGAGTGGCCTGGGCATGGGCTATTTGGGAGGTGATGGGGGGTTGGAAGTGAGGGGGTAGTAGGAGGGATGAGAGGGAAAACTGTGGTTGCAGTGTAAAATGAAATCAAAGTTTAAAATGGAGAAAAAAGAAAATTAAAACAACAGCAACAAAAAGTGTTTGTCTTGTGGATTTTCTCAAAGAACAAACTCTTGGTTTCATTGATTCCTTGTATTGTTCTCTTGGTTTTTATTTTACTGATTTAGCCCTCGGTTTGATTACTTCCTGTTCTTGTGTACCTCTTCTGAGTGTGTTTGCTTCTTTTTGTTCTACAGCTTTCAGATGTGCTAAGTCCCTAGTATGAGGTCTCTCTAAATTCTTTATGAAGAAGGCACTTAATGCTATGAAATTTTCTCCTCACACTTTCATTGTGTCCCATAACTTTGGGTATGTTCTACATACATTTTTATTGAAGCGTGAGAATTCTTTAATGTCTTTTTTTATTTCTTCCTTGACTCAGTAGTAATTCCATGCAGAGTTGTTCAGTTTTCATTAGCTTATACACTTTTAGTTGTTTCTGTTGTTGAAATCCAGCTTTAATCCATGGTGATAAGATACAGGGGGTTATTTCAATTTTCATGTATCTATTGAGACTTTTGTTGGTGACTAAGTGTACAGCCAATTTTTGGAAATATTCCATTAGGTGCTGAGAAGAAGGTATATTCTTTTGTGTTTGGGTGAAATGTTCTGTAGATATCTGTTAGGTTCATTTTAGTCATAATGTCTGTTAGTTTCTTTATTTCTCTGTTTGTTTTCTGTCTGAGCAACATGTCCATTGGTGAGAGTGTGGTATCTAACTCAACCTTTATTATTAATGTATGGGGTTCAATGTGGCATTTAACATACAGTGATGTTTTGTTTATAAATGTGGGTGTTATTGTATTAAGGGCATAGATGTTTAGAATTAAGACATCTTCTTGGTGGGTTTGTTCTTTGATGAATATGAAATATCCTTCTCCATTTCTTTTGATTAATTTTAGTATGAAGTGTATGTTGTTACATATTAGGATAGCTACAATAGCTAGCTTCTTACTCTGATCTAGTATTGAGCCTCTGTCAAGGTTGGAGCTCATTTGGGGGAAGTTAGCTTTGCCTTTGGTGTAGCAGAGTTCCTCTGTTCTTCTTACTGATAAGGCCTGCACCTCTTAGGCTGATTGATGTGATCTGTGCTGAACACTCATGTCAGTCAGAAATTTGGACAGAGTCAAACGGCACTGCAGATGCTGATCTGGGACAGCTTCCTCTGTGGGGTGGATCTTTGGGAACAGAATCTAGGGAGTGTTGCATTTCAGCTGGCAGGCAGGTCAGTCATCTGTTCGTCTGCCTAGGGTGGCCTGTGCTTCAAGACTATGTTTTCCCTTAAGGTGATTTGGGGGAGTCTCAGGGTGACAGTTAATGCTAACAAGGACACTGTTTCAAACTGTTAAGACTTCCTCCTTCATAGGGAAGGAGTTCCCCATTCTCCAAGTGACTTTCCCTCTTTGTTTGCATGGTCATCACATTTGCCAGTGTCCAATCAGAGCCAGAGTACAGCTCAAGGACATCTACCCTGAGTGTCACTTTTCCCACTTCCCAGATACTGGTCTCGGGGCCACCCTTGTCTCTACAACAGACATCGTGAAGAGTTAATGAAACAACATCATCAAAACACAAGTTTTTAACCTGACTCAGGACGGGCCTCCCAGGCACATTCATCACCTGCCTCTTCAGACTTCATCGGAATCAGAGAAGAAGCCTGTTATGATAAATCTTTCTGCCAAAAGCCGCCTGAGCCCCACTGCCACATGTGAGCTTTATGACAGCCGCCTGCCTGAGTTAGGCCCAAATGAATACACAGAGAGACTTGTATTAGTTACAATGCTGCTTGGCCAATGACTAAGATGCTCATCTGTTAGCTCAGTCTCAATTATCATACATCTATATATTTTATAAGACTTATCTTATCGGACACCTTATTGGCGTCCCTCTTAGCTGGTGGATCACATTGCGCCGCTGGAGCAGGAGCCGAGAGGAAAAGAGGGCCCTTCCTCTTTCTCTTTTGCTTAAATATCAATCTCCTTGCTATGTCACTTCCTGCCTGGATCAGCACTTCTCTACTACATTTCCCAGAATCCTCTTTGACTCCTAGTTCTGTTTAACTTGCTGTCTCATTGGCCAAACAGTATTTTATTCAATAATCAATTAGATAAACATACACAGTAGTACATTCCCCATCAGAAGCCAATCGCCAGCTGAAACAAGACAGGATCTGGGAGCATGTGGGGTAAAGGAACATGAGTGTGCCCAAAGTTCTGGTTGTTCCTTCTTGGTAATGGAGTTCCTGATAGCATGAGTTAGTGACAGAAAGAAAAATCTACTTGAATTTAAGTAAAGTCTTTCTGGCTGAGAAGTTCTTTCCTCCTGGGGGAACCCCCAACTTGACACTCCAATGCCAGTCCAAAGTGAGCCAAGAAAAATCAGAGATTCAAAGAGAGGAGGAAGAATCATACCTGGAATCTCATGAGAGGATTGGGAATTCTTTTTGCCCATGACATAGGCTGGGGATTAATTTCTGCCTCTATCCCTAAAACCTAGACTGTACCCAAAGCTCAATGCTGTCATTTCAGGGATCCAAACCCCAAGGCCTGTAATTTTCTTCTCTTTGGTCCTATGGACACCAATGGCTGATTTCTAGACAAGGGAGATAAAGAATTTACAACTATTGGTAATGGTGTTGGGGGAAAAGAGCTCTTGGAAAGATACCTAGAGCTCTCCATTGATAAGGCAAGAGTACTGTGCAGGTGGGTGAGAGGCAACACTGCAGAAGACATTAAGGTTTGACCCTGGATACAAATACTTATCTGAAAGGGATATAATCAGATTGTCTTAACAATATGGAGCAAACCAAATAAAGCCACACATGATCCCTGCAAAGAAACAGGAAAGCCCTGGTGTATAGAAGGCTCTAGTTTCTGTTCTATTTACCTGAGATGAGCAGGTCCCAACCTGAGCTGTCATGAAGATTAATAGAAGAATAATCATGTAGCATACACAAGCCCTTGATCCATCACTGGCACCACACACACACACACACACACACACACACACACACACACAAAATAACATAGACTCTCATGTATGCACTGAACCTGAATCAGAGATGTCCCTGTCTACATCACCAAGAGCCTGTCTAGAAAGTAGAAGTCCTCCCAGTCCATTCTAGCTCAATACTAGGTCTAACTGCATGTGCTTGGGCTAGAGACGTATTACTTGGCTAGCCTAAGTATCTGTGTGGTAGGTTTGTGTCAATACCCAATAGTGGCTGGGTGTTGAAGCTCTGGCTCCC